ATATGCTCCGGCGTATGGTACTCGAACCATAACATCACTCCTCAATCCGCTCCGATGTATGGTACTCGAACCATAGCATCATTCCTCAATCCACTCCGATGTATGGTACTCGAACCATAGCATCACTCCTCAATCCGCTCCGATGTATGGTACTCGAACCATAACATCACTCCTCAATCCGCTCCGATGTATGGTACTCGAACCATAACATCACTCCTCAATCCGCTCCGATGTATGGTACTCGAACCATAACATCACTCCTTAATCCGCTACGATGTATGGTACTCAAACCATAACATCACTCCTCAATCCGCTCCAATGTATGGTACTCGAACCATAACATCACTCCTCAATCCGCTCCTTAGAACCTCCAGAATACCCCCTGTATCAAGTATGGGTCCTCTGCTTTCAGTAGTACGGGCCCATACTACCTGCCACATCTACCCATACTTTCCACACGGGCCATCCCAGAGCTCCTAAGTAGCTGTCCGACCTGCTCTTTCACCAATCCCATCGCGCGTGCTCGCTCCCCAGCGAAATTCTCTACCCTACCAGCGCACTCATCTGGCTAAGGTTACTCCCTAGGCTCTTTCTTGGTCCTCCTACTTCTTTGCTATCAGCTGCTGAAGAGCTCCTAATGATGCCGGCCATCTACCTCCTGAATATCATCATATTCACTTGGTAGCCGACTCCCATCATCGAGAGTTCCACAAAGCACAAAGCAAGAAGCATTCGAGCATCGAAGAATACATAGAACTCACCCTCGGTGATAACCCCACTTTCTCGACTCATCCTCGAAAGTACCACCGAACTCTGTAACTCTACCCCTCCCGGGTTCTAACTGGATACTCTCACTCATCACATACTCAAAAGCATAACACATATAACAACAAGTCCTAGGCTAAGACATCACAAATCAGGCCACTCTAGTCCTAAGATATGAAATACCTAGCCTATATCTAGCATGCAATAATATCTCATAACGTGCATCATAAATATCTCATAACACAAAAGTAAGGGTATTTTGGGAAATCACCGTTCGGGCTCTGGCTGATTGTACACACCGCTTTTTCTTGCTTTCTCCTTGAACTCTTATTTACTTTTAGAAAATTATTTCTTTGAAAACTTTTCTTACTTCCTCAGTTTGAGTCCAGATTTACCCGAAGGCGCATCCAAATCCCTCAAACCAAGGCTCTGATACCAACTTGTAACACCGTAAATTTCAAAACAATTTTTCATTTAAAATAATCGTTTAATTCTTAGAAACATTTGTTTAAAATCTCATTCATAATCGAATTACAAAACACAACTCCATTTTCACTCGCATATTAAACCAGGATCCTCAAAACATGACTCTTTCTCTGATGTATACAATCAAGCCGGTGCCGTCCCGTGATCCTGAAAGAAACCTGAAACATAACACAAAACACTGTAAGCATGAAGCTTAGTGAGTTCCCCAAAATACCACACATAACACATATTAGCCACTCGAGGCTATAACTCTATGGGTCCGTGCACCCAAACTCTGTGAACCCTTAGGTTCTAACTCTGGGAACCTTCCGGTTACAACTCTATAAGCATGCACAGCATAAATCACATAGAAATAATGCATTACAACACATCACGTACATATAGCATACAAATACTCTGATCACATAACTCTAGTTACCTACTCAAGGTAAAGTATAGTGAGAAGACTCACCTGGCAAACATAAAGCAGATATCCCCACACTTAATCTCGAACTCGCCACCGCCTAACACGTAAGGCAAATACTCTCATGACTATAACTCTCGAGACTAGAATCAACCCTCTCATGGCACCCTCTTAAGGATAAAAGACTATTTTAACCCTCTCTTGGCCCAAAGGCCACATCGCTGACCAAGCCCTAAAAGTCAACGGTCAACTCTTGGTCCAAGTCAAAGTCCTCCGTCAAAGTCAACCCTCCTGGTTGACCCTGCTCGCCGAGTCAACCCGTCGACTCGTCGAGTCCCCATGCTCAGAACTTCCCCAATCCGCGATTCAACTCGCCGAGTCACCCCGAGACTCGCCGAGTCCCACATCTCTTAGTCCACTCGCACACAACTCACCGATTTATCCCTTGACTCGCCGATTCTCGACTCAACCAGAAAATATTTGGGACTCTTCGACAAGACTCGTCGAGTCCAAGAATAGACTCGCTGAGTCTACGGTTATCTTCAACCTACTCACCGAGTTGTTCATACAACTCGCCGAGTTCCAGGCCATCTTCATCCAACTCGTCGAGTCCACCCATGTGACTCGCCGAGTACCACCGGTCTGAATCCATTCAGAAGCACTCCAGGCCATGCAATTGATCCAAAACATAGATCTAGCCTCCTACAACCCCATCCATTACGTAAAGTGGCAAACTTTATGTGAATCCAAAGAGATCTATGCGTTTTCACTCTAGGGTTTCGGTTTGGGACAAGATGGCTCCATCAACCACTCACAAACAGGGACTTTCATGTACTCTAGACCTTCTCCCTTCCATATCTGAGGTAGCAACCTCAGATCTAACCTCTAAACTCCAATACATCCAAAGATATGATCTCTAACACCCCCATAATGATGCATCTAAGAAATAGCAGCTTAAAAACGAGATATTACCTCAAAGGAATGCCCCAACTGAAATGAAACTCGAATCCAAGCAAAGCCCCTTGCTCCAAGCCTCTTGCCCTTCAAGATTTCCTCAACAATTGCTTCTCCAAGCTTCCAAATGCACTTGATCCACTCACACATGAGGGTTAGGGTTTCTGGTTTTTGAAGATGAGTAAGGAGGCTGAGGAAATAGATGTTATGTTCTTATATAGGGCTCAACCCCGAGAATTAGGGTTTTCTCCACTCAGCGCCTACTCGCCGAGTCCATTACACTGACTCGCTGAGTCGGCCACTTAACACGCGACCAAGTCGCGTCTCTACTCGCCGAGTCCGCACATGGACTCACCGAGTCACTCTTTCCCAATTTACTCTTTTAGCCCTTCAACTCTACTCTTGATATTTCGGGATGTTACACTTTAACGCTAGTTTTCTATTTAGTTTTTACAGCCTTTGCTTTTTCATCACTTCCATCTCCCATGATCACCTCTTTTCCGTGTTCCATCATTGTACGAAGATGTCTTCAGTGTTTCTCCCGCGGTCTCTTCCATCAGGTAAGTTGTTGGACAATCTCAGCTACTCATTCTTGACTATCTCTATTCTCGCTCTCTTTTTTCTCGAATTTTCTTCTCTGTTCTCCCTTTTCTGTTGAATGATGTTTCTATGTTGAGAAAACTTCCATTGATTCCATAAATTAGAGTTTTTTTTTTTTATGGATTACACCCTATTCCCAAGTCTCAATTAACAAGGGAAGTGGAATTTTAGGAGGATATAACAATAATATTTACTATATCTACTACTCTCTTCTTTCAATGAAAATTCAACTTTAGAAGTCTTCGATTGTAACAAAATATCAGACACCATTGTGTTGAACAAAGATGGATTTGTGCTTCCCGAGGTATTTTTAGGGTTATACTAAACATGTTACATCTTACATGAAACAACTCATAATGATAAGTGTATATTCTGTTTATGATTTTATCACTTTGTTTTTTATTGGATAACAGAAAAGGAAAACTTGTATCTGTATGGATTCTAAAAATATGAACGGAAAAAAGGGAGAAACATAGAACGGGTTCTTGACTCTCTTGTCAAAGACACTCAACATCAATTTCTTTCTATCAAGGTTACAATATGTATGTCTCTTTTTCTAACTTTTTTTAACGATTCAAGACTTTCAAATCCCTGTATTCATATTTAGTAATTAATAAGACATGTGATTTTGAATGGGATTGGATTTGGCATTCCAGGTTGTTTGGCCTGAAGGTGTAGTCTGCAACATAACTCTAGTTTTTATTGGATTTTTTTCTGCCATGCATTTGTGGACTCAAACTGGTTTGTTTGTTTGATTACTTTTGTAAGCTATTAACCTGGTTCTATTCAGAAAAATGTGCAGGAGTAAAAGAAACATGGAGAAACTGGAAAGAGGAAGAACAGGGGAAAATGAAACTTCTCTACAAAATCGCTTGATTACTAAAATTTATTAAGAAACATGAATAAAAACATAATTAAAACATCAAAAATGTTTATCCCATTTATACTACATAAAACAAAATCCTAATCTAAGTCAAATACTAAAAATAGGACAGTTTTTCCTAAAATGCCCCTGGGACCAATTTGTCCCAGATTATCAAATATCCTAACAACTTTAATTATAATTTTAGATAATCTGAAGGATACTCTTATGGAGCTGCTTTAAAAGCGAGTGGAAAAATAATATTGTAGTTTCATATTTTTTTTTTCAACCCCAAATCCTCATCAAGGGAAAACTCGTCCAACTTTTGGGCAACTTTACAGGAAACTTAATCTTGTTGATTTGGCAAGGTTATAAAAATATATCTAATTAATATGCATTATAGCTTCTTTCCTTTATAGAGGAAGTATTTTAATATTAGTCAAATATCTAATTAATATGAACGGGAGTGGAATGAAATGTTGCATTTTAAAGCATGTTAATCAAGTGGTTGAGCTTGAGAAGAAGTGTAAAACAACAATTGAAAAATAGCTTCATCAAATTTTTAGATATTAATTAGATACATGGATAAAACATGCTACCCAAATTGCTAATTATATTTTCTCTGGAGTTCCATTTTGGTTTACACCTGAAAAGAAATTAACAATATGATATTTTCATTATTGTTAGGTTTTGCGATTCTTCTGTTTGGATTACCGGTTCATACCTGAAGTGTGGATATGCGATTCATTTGTTTGTATATATACATACAGATGTTTAGGAGTTGTATTAGGTTGGACATGTAATCAGGGAAGATAAGATGTTTAGGAGCTGGAAGATTTTGTATATCTTGAAGATGCAGTCAATGTTTGATTTTGAGGATTGGATGTGAAATTGTTTATAATGAAGATGGTGAACCACAAATACAAACAGATGGAACCGGATTCATATCTTGAAGAAAAGGTAGCAGATACATTATAAATATTTCTATTGTTTTTGCTTTTGCTATTATCAATTCAGTTAAGAAAAGGCTAAATTTGGGTTTATTATCTTTTACTTCATTAGGGTTTTTCTTTTGTATAATAAAATGTGACCTGTTTGCATTATAAAACTGTGTTTAGCTTCAGATGTTTGGTCTATCTTGATTTCCATCACCACTTTTGTTTTTTTTTAATCTTTGAGGAGGACAATGCAATAGTAATGTGGATCACTACAGGACAGTAGGATAGTAGCGTGTAGGTCTTATTATTACTGAATACAAAATTATTTTTTTCACTGGCTTCTTTTGATTGGAAAGGTAAACTATTAAATGCTAATATGCCATTTGTTTATTTTAATTTTCTTTATTGACATTGTTTTGTTTCTATATTCTCCATCATTAAAGGTACCAACAACAGAACAAGTGAATGCTTTGTCCAAAGAATTACACGGTCGTGCCATTATCCCAGGTCATGTAAATTAATTTCCTTTTAATTTAAATATATAAAAAGTTGAACTTTTTGTTTATTGGTGTATTCTGTTTATTTTTGCAGATCATGTGTATAAAGCCATCAATGTATTACCTATAACAGCTCATCCAATGACTCAGTTTACAACTGGTGTCATGGCTCTTCAGGTTAGCTTTTTCATGTAATTGTTTCTTTACAAAAGAGGTCAAATTTGCAGGAAATAGCAAATAGGAACATACTTTGCACTCGTTATATTTATATAAAACCATGTTGTTAAGTTAAACTAATATTATAAGAAATTAAGCAATAAATATACTCCACAATTTAACTACACTCCTTCTTTCACAAGTACAAAGTGAATTTGCAAAAGCTTATGAGAATGGAATCCATAAATCCAAGTAGGTTTCTTCTAACTTTTATATTTTTCAACACACTTATTTTTAATGCAAAAGATGATTTATATACTTGTTATTATTATTCAAGATACTGGGAGCCAACATTTGAGGACTCTCTTTCATTGATTGCTCAACCACCAGCTGGATCTGCATATACATACCGTAGGTATGTCTATATGTATATCCAAAGAAATGCCATTTCTACATAATTTCATATTGAAAATGAAAGTTTTGACTATTGTTTACAGTTGATTTTATTTTCTGTTTTTTTAAAAGGATATACAAAAATGGAGAAGTTGTATCAGCGGATGACTCGTTAGATTATGGTGCAAATTTTGCGTATATGCTTGGAATTGATAGTCCAGCCATGCAAGAGCTTGAGGCTTTATGTCACTATCCATAAGTAAGAATATGATTTATGATTATTTACTTGTTTGTATATATTTTGAATTTATGTTTAAGGATTATGAAATCTTGATTTATTATAGTGACCATGAAGGTGGAAATGTCAGTGCTCATATTGGACATCTTGTAAACCGTTTGACTTTGTTTACTTTTTAACTTTGTTTTTGGTTTCATTTAGTAATAAAGTATCAAATATCAATGGTTATGTGGTAGTAATCCTTCTGAGGGGGTGTTTGTTGGGCTGCTTCTTTCAATGTCATTAACAACAGTGGTAAGTAAAATCTAACTATTATGAAAATCTTTTGCTTAAACCTACCTTATTGACCTGTAGCTGATTAAACATTAATTTAATTATGCAGGTTTTGAAGTTTTTGATGGAAAAGAATAGTGTTAATGCTCTTCATAGGAAAGTATGTTGGTAGTTTAGGAAATTTGGCTAATAATTTAGTTAATTATATAAAAAAAATGTTGAAATATTACATTTGTCTACTATTGGAATGATTATTTGATGTATTACATTTGTCTACTATTGGAATGATTATTTGTATGACATTAAATTTTGTGCAATGTATTGTATTTTTTGTATTATGAGACATGAAATGCAAATTTAATTTGAAAATCAGTAAATCTATAAATAATTTTTTTTTTTAAAATTTAAAATTACGATACGCAAAAATGTGTGTCGTCTTCATTTATGACATGACCTTTCTTGACAGGGGCTTTCTTGATACGCATTGCGTGTCATTAACACGCGTGTCATAAGGTTACAACACACGAATGCGTGTTGTCTTCCTTTATGATAGGGCCTTCCTTGATACACATTACGTGTCGTAAACGCGCGTCGTAAATGCGCGTCGTAAATGAGCATCGTAAATGCGCATCGTCTATAGACGACGCGCAAAAGCGCATTGTCTCTCTTTATGATAGGGCCTTTCTTGACGCGCATTTGCGCGTCGTCTGAGCCTTTTACGACGCACAATGAGCATCGTAAAAGGTTGTTTTTCTAGTAGTGTCACAAGGTTAGTTTAAGGACTTAATCATGTTTTGACCCCCATTTCTGCATGTTGTAACACCCTGAATTCAGAAAACCAAGAAAGGAAAGAAAACCTCAAGATAAGGAAGTGACTAATTGAGTAGATGGGTGACTCGACGAGTAGGAGCGCGATTTTGGTCGCGGGTTAAGTTACCTACTCGACGAGTCAGAGGACTGACTCAACGAGTTGGCCAGATTTTGGGAAAACCCTAAATCGGGACTTGGGGCCCTATTTAAGCATCTTATTCTCATTCTATCAGTGTCATTTGTAGCCTCCATTATCCAGAACCTGTCCCACGAAACCCTAGTTTTCTCTTTGAGTGTGTGAGCCTTATTGAAGGATTTAGAGTGTTCTTGAAGTTTAGAAGAAGAAAAAGGAGGTTGAAGGTCCAAGGAAAAGGCTGTAGATCCACGAAGTTTGCTTCATCATCTTCATTTTCTGGTAATCAAGTTCTCACCTTTACTTCTAGTTTGATAGATCTCTTTATGTCCCTTTTTATGGAGTTTATTGTCCAAGAAGGATGTCTTGTGGGATTTGGACGTCCCCAAGCTAGATCCTTCCAGATTTAGAGGTGTACAGAGTAGTAGAGGCATAAAGGTGGAAGCTTTATGCCATTATACCTCTCCATGCAAAGTTTAAGGAGTTTTTGGCCTTTTGAGCAAAAAGGGCCATGCATGGGTGCAAAGGTAGTGGCTTTGTGTGATATCACGACCCTAGGAGGCCAGATCTGGGTCTTGGATGCCTTAAGTTAGTTGGAAATCGTTAGAATAGTGTTGGACATAGAGAGACTCGGCGAGTCAGGCCAGTTCTTGCCCCAAAACCCTTCTGTTAAGGGTATGAGTGAGCTTGGAAAGGGACTCAGTCGGCCCGAGTCCATAATGGTCATGAAGTTCATCGTACTCGACGAGTTCAAGGAAGAAATCAGCGAGTCTAAGGCAATCTCCTTAGTTATGAAGATGGACCCGACGAGTTGTTCATACAACTCGGCGAGTCACAGACTAGACACATTTATATGTGGATGATGAACTCGACGAGTTCAAGGATGAACTCGCGAGTCGGATGAAGTTGGTCCCAATTGTGTGGTTGAAGGAGAACCTGTCAAGTTATTGCTAGACTCGACGAGTGGATTCGGGGTTGTATGGGGTTGGAAGAGTATGGAATCGATGAGTTGGTAGACCAACTCGGTGAGTCAGGTCAACTGGATGTTGACTTTGACCAGGGTTGACTTTTGGATTATTATGGTCTAAATGTTGTTTTGGGTATTGATAGTTCGGGAAGCCGAAGGGTCAGCAATTCAGAAGTGCTGGTTAGCAGTCAGAAGTGTTCGGTGAATCTTTGGCAGTGTGAGGTGAGTCTCCTCACTGTTTGTATGGGTCTACAACCACAATGTCAGCCCATTTTGTTTATGTATAATAAGAAGACCCGGGGGTTAGCCCTAGGAATTATGCATGAAAGACCAGGAGACGGCTCCTGACACACAATATGTTATTATGTATGGTAGGAAAACCGGGAGGGTTAGCCCTAGGCAATATGTGTGAAAGACCAGAAGGAGGCTCCTGGCGCACTGTATGCTATTATGTATGAAAGACCAGGAGGTGGCTCTTGGCACACTATATGCTGAGTAGCCTAGTAGAGTAGTATGTATAGTTATCTTTGTGATGCTTGCATGGAAGACCAGGGGGTGGCCCTTGGCACTTGTGTGTAAGACCCAGGGAGTGGCCCCAGGCTTGGTAAGGAAGACCACGTACGGCCCGTGGCATAACAGCAAGACTATGATGGCACATAGCACCTTACTTGATTATGGATATGTTTGTTATGTATGGCTCATGGTTACGTATGGCATGTATGGATCGGTTGATATGTATGGTATGTGGTATCTGGGGAACTCACTAAGCTTCGTGCTTACGGTTTTCAGCTATTTGTTTTAGGTGCTAATGTTTTTCCAAGGAAGGAGCTCGGGGAGATCGCAGCGCATCACACCATGTTTTCTGCACTAGATGATCTTTGGGATTTAAACTCTGATAATTTTTATATTAAGAATGTTATTAAATGATTGAGCAAAACTTATTAAGCGGTTTTGATTAATCAAAACGAAATTTTTGGTCTTGAATTTTGGGATGTTACACATGCAAAGACATAAGTTTGTAACTTTATGGATTAAAACGTCTTAAAGGACTTGGATCTATGTTTTGGACGTTAGGACTTAATGGATTAAGTCACAAAAGGGGTCATAAGGAAGCTGGCCAGTACGCTGGGCGTACACCCTAGTACGCTACACGTACTTGGTCAACTTCCCGCTTTTGGTCAAGGCCAACTTACGTGCCAGGTACGTCGTGTGTACGCATGCAGGGTGGAGTATATGGACTTTTGGGCCTTAGAAGTTTGGGCCTGGATTGTTGGGCCTCATGTCCCATTATGGAATTAGGTCTTTGGGCCTAAATCTGAGATTGGCGGTATTGCGCCATTCGAAATTATTTATTTTGGGCTAAGGATTTATTGGGCTTTCGATAAGGCCCATTTGAGGAGTTTGGCCCAATTCATAAAATTGGGCCATTGGTGGGCCACTTGTAGGTTTGGGAAGACTATTTAGATTTGGGGCCTTTTATGTTATGGTGTTGGGCCCTAGGCATGGGCCCAATTAGATCAGAGGTAAAATGGTCATTTTACCCTAAGAAGGATTATTAGTTTTTGATTAAGTGTTATTGAGGTAATGATAGTTCGGGGATTCATCGGAGCTACCGCTAGACATTTTTTACCATGAGATTCTGCATTTAGCTTTACGAGGTGAGTTGCCTTCCTGTAGGAGTGGGTCGAAGGCACCAATGTCAACCCACTAGTAGTTGTTTATGGTAGAGGCGGTTATCTTTGTGATAATTTCCTGGTATGTCATTCTGTTATGAATTATGTGCTTATTGCTATGTTATTATGTGGTAGTGGTAGGGGTGAAATAGTCCCCGTAATCGGTTAAAATAAACTGGAGGGTAGGTCGGGCACCTAGATATGCCTGGCAGGGTAGGTCGAGCACCTAGATATGCTTGATAGAGTAGGTCGGGCACCCAGATATGCCTGACAGGGTAGGCCGGGCACCCAAATATGCCTGACAATGTATGATTATGTGGTATGATGGGGGAACTCACTAAGCTTTGTGCTTACGGTTTTTAGTTTTGGTTTTAGGTACCTCTTCTGCGAAGGGAAAGGAGCCGGCATGATTACAGTGCATCACACCATTATTCTGCACATGAGATTCTTGGGAGATATACTCTAATGATGTTTTATTGTGACATGTTTCAATTACTGCCATTTGGTTTTGTTATGGGATGACACAATGAATGTTTTTAACACTAATGGTTTCCTTATAAGTTATTTAAAAATAAAATTTTCGGTCTTAATTTTTGGGATGTTACAGGTAGAGGCTTATAAATTACAAGGGGAGCATCTAGAAAGCAGTCATCTTTAGTATTCATAACTTAAGGAAGAAACATGCATCTTACATTGCTATAAAATCTTCAAATGGGATTTGGTGTAACATTGCCAGAGATGTGAAAAGTCTTGATGAATTTAATATTCATAGAAATGAAATATTCAAATTAATTCCATGCTCGGACGTGAAAATACTATTCGGGAAAGACCCCTGGTGTGGTATGATCCCATTTCAAGAAAAAATTTCAAGGTTGTACTCGATTGAAGTTGTCAAATATTGTGATATTACTGATTGTGTATCAACATCTAGTTTCTCTTGGAATTGGAAACATGAGCCGACTGATACGGAGACACTCCACGAGTTACTGCAATTATATGTTGAATTTTGGAATATTAATTGTGTTTCTCATTTTCCATTTGGGTTTAGATGTATGTTGAACATGGAAGGTAGATATATTGTTAAGGCCATGAAGATGTTGATCGACTCAGTCTCGATTACACACAAAGGTCCTCTGGTTTGTTGGTCAAATTTGATTCCTCCAAA